TGATCACTAACCCATTCCTTTCCTCAAACTTCACTGACATTCTGTGTGTGGCAAAATGAGATTCCCAAAAAGGTTCACTTTCTTCTCTCACTTTAATATTGATTGAATGCTAAACCATATCATAATTCTTTGATAAACAAAATAATTCTTTGATAAGCAAAAACATTGTTTCCAAAAGAAGAATGGCAGGGTGTTTGCATAGCTGGTAATGTATATCCTAGGACACTTATATCTGAAATCCAGTGCCAGAGATCAAGTCTCAGCTTTGTTTCACAATTCCAGCTTTCTGCCAAAGCACATCACAGACAGTGCTTGGTGATGATACAATTTTCCTCCAATTGAGCTAGCTGTGTGAACCATACTGCCTGAGTTTCTACTTCCTGTTTTGGACTTATCCAGATCATTTTGAGCCTTTGTGGAGTGCGACATGGGTGATAAATGTCGTTCCCATTGTCTTTCAACCAGGTAAAGAACATGAAGCAATTTAAGACATTTTTTTTTATGAAAAAGGCAGTGTTCTCTTGGGAGTTCCTGACTAATAGTATACCATGACCATCGAGGGGATGATGTGGGCTGAGTTAGTTAGAAGCATCAAGAACCACTGGAGACAGTCTGGTTAAGCACATATGTTTATTGTAAGCAAGCAGAATCCTACATAGACTAAGCATAGGTTTCTGAAGGCAAGATGGAGATATAAGGTACGAACAGATTTAAACTGCTGAACAATCATTAGCCAGGTTGCAGCTAATGATTGCAGGGCTGCTTCCAGGACGTAATAGAGGACAGGCTGACAGTAGTGTGCTACCTGGAGTCCTTTCGACTTGGGGAAGCAGCATAGAGAACAGAGCAGAGCTGCAGTCACCAGATAATGTAGCAAGAGTCGGCAAGTGGTAATTGGAGCTCCAGTGGCACCAGCAGCTCCAGTGGCAGCCAAGTGGAAAATGATTTCAGTGGGAGTTCAGGAGGTGAACACAGATAAAGAAATGCTTGTCCTGCTGATTTGGTTGATCCGGCCATGAGCAAAGACAGAGCAGCTGACTCCAAGACATGGTACAGAAACAGGTGGATTTCACAGCCCAGACATCCAGACATGAAAAAATGCTCAGGTTCCCTAGAAAACATTTTTTAAAATACAAATAAAAATCACAGTAAGATTCAAACTTTCTCCGGTGAGACTGGCATTCTCAAAACTCTACCAACACCACCTGCTGAAGTGGATGTCGGGAGAAAGGTACCCTCCTTCACTATTGGTGGAAGCCTAAGCTAGCACAACCATTGTGAAGTCAGTTTGGTGAGTGCTAACAACTCTGCAACTTTACCTGCTGTATAACCCATGCTAATCCTTTGTTGGTAATGCATCCAAAGAAATTGAAACCTATATTTGCAGCAGCACCATCCACAATAGCAAAGACGTAGAGACAACATAGATGCCTGTCTGAAGTGGAGTGGATAAAAAAGCATGGTATATCTACTCTAAGAATACTACTTGGTCTCTAAAATAATGATTATCTACCATTCCAACCAAATGTTCCCACCTGCAGATCTTTGTGCTCAGGGAAAGAATTTAATCCCAAAAGGACAAATGTCATTATGTTTTCTCTGATATTGGGCAACCTTCTTGCAAAATACAAGATCAAGACCGCTTACAATACTTTTGTGCTACATCTCAGGGGTTTTGATATCTATGTTTTTATTTTCATTTGTCCTAAAAAGTTCTTTATTTCTCTGATTAAAATCTTCATTTTGTCATACAGTAACATCATTTCCTTTGGCAAGGTCATGGATATTGTTTTTTTCTTCAACAACACAAGTCATCATTTGTATGTTCTTTATCTTATTGTAAATTTGCAATTTTCTTCCTGTTACCGACTTTGTTTTATGGCTTTTCGTTTAAGTGAATTTATACTAATTGTGTAACAGAGACTGTCATATCCAGATATGAAGATACAAAGAAGTAAGCATCTAACTTCCAAAGCAAAGATGGATGCCCAATGAAACTGTTTAATCTATCTTGAGAACAGGGTGCTGGACTCCCTGCCATTGTCCATACCAACAATGTATGGCTATACTAACCAGAGTGATAGACTTATGACTGTTTAAGAAAAACTTCACTTTTGTAGCAATATAGGATACACGTTACCTGAGCAGGAATTGGGAAAGAAATAGGGGAAATCTCAGAACCTATGTAAATGCATCATAAAATAATTTGTAAAAATATTTTTGGTTATAATTTTGGAAATATGTAGAGGTAAGAGAGGAGAGAAAGAGAATCTTCCACCCACTGCTTGACTGCCTAGATGGCTGTGATGGCCAGCAGTGAGCCAAGCAGAGGGACTGCTATTTATTTGGACCATTTTGTGCTGGCTTTTAGACCCGTAGCAGGTGACTGGATTGGAAGCCGTGTAGCCAGGATGTGAACAGGAGCACCTATGGGATGTTGACATTGCAGGCTGTGGCTTTACCCTCTTTACCACTGATACAGTCTTAGTAAGCCCAAATCAACACATTGAGCCTGGTCCAACTTTGTACTCTCTGTACTTTCACCCTGCATCTTTGGTAACCCTTCCTACCCTCATTATCCAGATTTATGTCTATACAAATCAAAAAGAACAGTATTGCTTGCAGAGGCAATTGACCCTCCACTCTGATCATGCTTTGTGTCTCGTCTTTGGTAGCATGCTGGGAAGCAAGTCTAGCTATGGGTCTAGAAGCAAAGAAGACTGGTTGTGATCAGATAGAGAACTGGAAAGTATTTTGTTCTATGTCATCTCTCTTTATAGATGAGTTAATTTGATCACTTCATCTAGAATATTTCTGCTAATACATATCAAGTACTATTTCATAGATTTCCTATCTATTATCCCTGCACCAGAGAGGAGATCTTTACAGTTTGCTCAGGCAATACAGGGTCAATCTCTTCAGGTGGAGGCATAGAGATCAATATCACTGCTCTTAGGAAGGCTTCCTTTGCACACACACACACACACACACACACACACACACACACACACACACACACACACGACTCATCAGAATACCAGAGCTCAATGTCCCTAGCAGAATCAGGATTTCCCACATACTGCCAACTCAGCTTATTCTCCTATATCCATTCAGAGCCTGTCCTTTAACCAAACATTCTGAAAGGCTGTTAATTTGGCTGTGTAATCTAGTCTTCACACCACAAGATTTTCCAACTGATTTTCTTCTATCTCAACTCCAAGCCTGCTGGACATAAAAGTCACTGGACTCACTTGTAACAAACCCAACTACTAATAAGACAGTCTAACATGCTCTCAGTCCCAATTTTCTGAAGGAGCTAACTAGACTTGAAACTGGGGACCACTATGATACCAATCATCGCTGGCCAGGGGGATATGATTACGTTGTTCAAAACTGTAATGATCTCTCTATGCACATGTTGGGTATATTTTTTAGGGACAGAAAGGGCTCAGAGAAAGATTCAAAGAAGAATTTAAAATACACAACATGTATAATAAATCTAAAATTATGAATAAGATAATCTCATTTCCTTATAAGCATAAAAATACATGGAGACATAAAAGGAAGGCAAATGATACCAGAATTTTTCGTTAGCTCTTAAGCAGTGAAATTGATTTTGAACAATACATTATGATAAGCTAACTGTGATGAATAAACCACCCTGACTGTTCAGAAGTTTGACATAATTTATGTTTACTTATCACTCATGTCACATGCCATAAGGTTTGGGGTAAGACTCGGATCTGGATGGATTTCAAGTTATTGAGAGATCCAGACTCCTTTCACCTTCCACCTTTGCCCACTCCCATAAGTTCTTGGGGTCCCCTCCAGCCAGCCCAGGCACAGGGAGAGGTGAATATGAACAAAGCAAATATTGCTAACTCTCTTCATGTGAAATTGTCACAAACCATCTACAGTGTGAACATTTGATACATGACAAGTCCTTGCGTGGAATGGTGTCAATTCCATCCATTGCTCTAGTCAATGATTTTTTTTCAAAGGCCCTCATTATTTCATCTTGTCACACAGTTTGGGAAACCTTCTTTTTCTTCAGTGTTTCACATCCCCTGTTAAGACCTGGTCCTCCAGAAAGACACAGTCTATCCCCAGGTGGTGACTCAGGGAATCACAGCTTTGCCTCCTGACTTCTGGTCACATGTTGGGCTTTCTTCCTCCCAACTTCCTCCCATGTCAGTGTATCCTTCCTCCCACTTACTGCCTTGCTGAAACTGTTGGATCATCCTGACAGAATTAGTCATGGACCAAAGACTTGTGTGATTCCAAGCTAGAAACATAAACAGACTCAGAAGAAGGAAAGCAAAGTAGATGTGGGACTAAAAGACATGACATCAGGGTTGCATTGTTAGACATATGAGAGTCACAAGTGCAAGACAGCAAAATTGGCCTCCGGTTCACAGGTTGAAGTAGGATGCAGACAGGGAGAATTGGCATCCAGGGGAGAGGGAATTATTGTGTTTGCAGACAGGTTCTACCTCCTAATCTTGTCTAAAATGCCAACACAGAGAAGTGGGTAACGTTCTTCTCCATTAGCAGGAAGAACGTATCACAAGGAGACTGAGATCTAATTTATTAGACAGTGTAAGGTGGTCATAGTGTTAGCTGAGCCTCAGAGCCTGAAGCTTTTTGTTTTCACAATGGACTTTTGATTCTCTCGTTAGTATCTATCTCCCTGTCTTGTCTCACCCTACAGGCCTCAAAATGTTAGCTTCATAAAATGAAAATGATGTTTTCTAGTTGACATCAGATACCTTGTTGGGCCTCCCCAGCCTCATTCTGGGTCTGTTTTGGAATTTTGTCAGTAACCTATGAGTTTTCTGTGGATACAATAGGATGTATTTATGAGTTTCCTCCTGTTCAATGCCAATCATGTTGGCAGGCTATGTAAAGATGGACAACAAAGATGTGTTACTGGAGTATCCAGAGGAAGAAGCATTCTTTGTGGTCAGGAAAAAGTCTAGAACCACAGGACACTGATCTGCTACTGAGAAAATGGTTTACTTTCACCAAGAAGAGTGCTATGTTATTTGACACTTGAGAAAAAATAGAAAGAAGACTCCACAGATTCACTCAAATTCTCAATTTCCCCAATTTCTGTGAAATGGTCTAGCCACATTTGCTCTCCAGGGCTTTTCTTGTTGCTTTTCTTTGTTTATGGACGTGGATCTTGCCTCGGTAATGGTCAGCACCTCTGGTTACAGTGGCAGATCTGTGGTTTCCAGGTTGCCTGAAGGGAAGCAGTCCAGGCCAGAATCAGCCCACAGTGTGAGCTAGGAGTAGAGCATAACTCAGTGGAATGCTCTTCTTCTCCACATCTCCAGGCACATGTGCAGGTACTTGAACTTGCCAGCTGTAACGTCAGCACAGCATCCATGTTATTGATGTGTCAGGGAGTTGTGGCTAAGTTTTGAGACCCAGTGGGAGCCTAGTAGAAACAATCAGGAGACACACAGGGACCGGTGGAAGCCAAGACAAGCATCAGGAAGACCAGGATACTAATCTGTAAAAAAAAAAAGAAGAGGAAAATGCAGTTAGGTTAGGATGGTGATAGATCAAAAGGGGGATATTCTCGTCAAGCTGTGATCAGCTAAAGAAGAAGACAAAGCCAAATATAGGAAAGAGATCTAAACTACACAGATATCCCACCCTGTAAGAGCTGATTAAATTGGGGGCAATTTCCCAGGGACTTTTCAACCCCCACGTGAGTCACAGAAAGTATTCATGCACATTTACATGTCATGTAATCACAACAATATTTGAGGTAAGTGAGATAGCTGTCTCTGTTTTACAGATGAAACACCGGGTTCACAGCAGTTAGATGACTCAGTTTGTATAACTTCCAAGTAACAGCAGCAGAATTCAAACAGAATCTTTTGTCCTGAAACCTTTGAGGTTCTGCTCCCTACATTTCTTTGCCCACTATTAGTTTTAGCTTAGGTTCAGGGTTAGTTGTTTAGTGACGTAGCTTTATGCAGTCAAATCCCCATGTTTAGTACAACTGGGCATCAGGCCACTAATTCTCTGGAGTCAGCCTCGCAGGAGCTGCAAGTGAACTTCCTGGCCTAAACCAAAGCAGTGATTCTTATTTCACTCCCCTGAAGATACTCAGGGCTGCTATCCTGGCTTCCATGATAACATTGTCATGGACATTTTTAAAGGGTTCTCAATCATAAATCCATTCCCGTATTTAATATTGGTAAGTAATGGAGTGATGACAGAAGCGAATTGGTTGAAAAATCTTCAGTAGTTTAAAATTAGGCCTTAAGTGTGGAATCCTCTTATCCCTAGGTTCTTTACTAACCCTTAGCTGAAAGACTGGATGTTATCATTCTGATATACAATTGAAAGTGACTTTTATGATTTTGGATGGTTGCTTTTTTTTTAACTTCATTTTTGTATCAGGATACTGATAACAATGCTTAAATTATTTTTGTTCTCATATTTATAAACCGTATATTTTTTTTATTACTTGCATCATTGGCACTGATATCCTTCGCACTCTCCAACCCCACTGATATGCCTGAATTTCCCTCTGATGATATTCCTAGAGATACACAGGGAGTGGGTAATGACTACGCTTTGTCACATCCTTTTCTTTAGAGTCCATCTCTCCTACCTCCCCTCTTTATCATCCTCGTGAATTCCATGCATAGGACTTACCTGAGCAGATCACAGCCACATCTTCCTCATGGGTGCAGTCATGTCGTCCCCAGAACCTGTGCTGGCAGAGTTCCAGGGACTGTTCATTCCCCGAACAATCGACATCGTCCAGCCAGATGCGTCCAACTCCAGGGCCAAAGATTTTCCGTTCTTTCATGGATGGAGAGAGGGACTTCCCACAGCCCATCTGTTTGCACACTACCTGGTCCTCCTGCTCTCCCCAACCATCATTGCACACTGAGCCCCACATTCCGTGGTGTAGCACCTGCAGCCTTCCAGAGCAGCGGCTGTGTCCTCCCACAAGTTTCAGTTCAAGGGGATCTGCAGGGTTAAAAAAAGGAAGTGGGAGGTTGAAAGAAAGAGAGAAAATGGGGGAAATTAAGATCATCTGCATCCTCACCCAAACTGAACTAGCACAAGTGAGACTGTACGTGTTTGTGTAATTAAGAAGCCCTATGCTAGGTTCAAATCCTGTGGACCAGGTCCATTTTTCTATCTGAATCTTCACACTGACTCATCTATTTTATAATGTTAATATTTATAAGTGACATATACTATTTAAAAATGTAAGAGCTTAAAAGGTGCATGAAATGATATGCTATATCAGACAGAATTCAATATAATAGCAATTCATATCAATGTAGTGCATAATATTATTTAAAACATTCTCAGAAAGGCACAGAGCATAACAATCTACAAATAAGATAATTAGTGAGAAGCACAATTAAATAAACTTGCTACAGTTCTATGTCTTATCAGCAGTTCACTGTAATGTTGTTTGAATGGGACCCCTTGTAAGTAAATGTGTGAATGAACATTGTCTCTGGATATGTAGACATTACCTTCACAGTCCACCCATGTATCCTCAGCATGAGTGCAATTGTTCTTCTCCCAAGGCCCGGAATGGCAGTCCTGAAGGACTACTTCTTGTCCTAAGCAAGCTATCTGACTCTGCCAGATTGGTCCTTTGCCCTGGGTAGACTTGTCGCAAGATTTTTGTGTATTTATGGCTCTCCCACACCCCAGTTGCCGGCACACCACCTTCGCAGATTTGAGATTCCAGCCTGTTTTGCACACAGTGTTCCATTTTCCCTGGTATTGTATCTCCACTCGCCCTTTACAACGTCCAGGGCCATCAACAAGCCGTACACTCTCTGGGACTGGAGGTAAAGGGATGTCTGGGTCTGGTAAGAAAGAAAGGGTAAATGTTCTCCCCATATAAGAACATGGCATTATCAAAGGGCAGGATCCTAGTACACATCTGTCAGTTTTGAAAGTTTAGGATGACGTGTAAGAGTGAGCTTTAGGCTGCCTGATAAATATTTACTTGAAGAGTGAAAGACTGGAGGTCATTATGTTAAGTGAAGTAAGGCAGATATAAAAAGACAGATGCCACATGTTCTCTCTCACATACCAGCGTAAAAAACAAAGTCAATCTGGACAGGGAAGGTCAGGGGATAGTGTGAGGTCTGGATGCCAATACAGATAAAAGTAGTAAGTTCTAGTGTTGCGCAGTAGAGTAGGTTCGTTACAGTTTGCAAACTGTATTATTCTGGGAAGTGTGGAAAGTGCTCCCAGGGTTAATAGGTGAAGGATCAACTTACTCTGCCAGTGAGCCAATCCTCCCATGAAAAATACATTTTTCTTTTGAAAGTTAGAGAGAGAGGGAGAGAACTCCCATCTACTGTTTCAGTCCCTGAATGCCTGTGATGGTTGGACAAAGCTTGTGATCCAGGTCTCCCATATGGGTTGAATCCAATCACTTGTGCCACAGCTGCTGCCTCTTAGGTTCCACATTAGCAGGAAGCTGGAATCGCGAACAGGAGGAGTATGTTCTGGCCCGAGAAGCTTGCACTCTGATGTGGAATGTGGACAACTGAACTGGTGTTTTAACCACCAGGCTAAATGCCTATTTCCAAGTTTTAAAAATAGTAGCAACATACAAGTTGTGCCAACAGCAAAACTCTTGTAATTTAGCATTGGCAATTTCAAATAGGTATCTCAGACATTACTTGCAGCTCCCAATGTAAGAATCAAATATGAGGTTTCAGTTTAGGGACAAAAAGTGATTATTTAAGGCCCAGAACAATGCCTAGTGGTTAAAGTCCTCGCCTTGCATGCACAGGGATCCCATATGGGTGCCGGTTCATGTACCAGCTTCTCCACTTCCCAATCAGCTCCCTGCTTGTGGCCTGGGAAAGTAGCCAAGGACGGCCCAAAGCCTTGGGACCCTGCACTCGTATGGAAGATCCAAAAGAAGCTCCTGGCTCCTGGCTTCAGATTGGTTTAGCTCTGGCTGTTGTGGCCACTTGGGGACTGAACCAGTGAATAGAATATCTTTCTCTCTGTAAATCCAACTTTCCAACAAAAAATAAATCTTTTTTTTTTTTTAAGTAAGTATTTCATGGAAAACAAATTCTGTGAGCTGGCAAAGAAAAAAAACAAGATTTCAGAAAAGTCATGGTCTAATGGAGGAGAAAATATACATGCGGAGATTATTCATATATGGAAAACAAATAACAGAAGGTAGAGAAATTAATACAGACCTGTCTATTTATCACCTAATGAGGTTACTCTGATTTGCTATGAGTACTTCCCAACCACCTCTGTGGATGGTAAAAAGATTCCTTGGAAACGGAAGCAATCAAAAACAGCACTTCGGGAGCTCATTTCTCTCACAACTGCCACCAGCTTTCAGAACAAGGCACTCAATCAACAAGGGTTAGTGGCTGCTGGATCTTCACAAGTGTATGTATATGTAAATAAGATAAGTAGGTTCTTCTATAGAAGGAAACTAAGGGAAAACATTACCTCATTGAAATAGAAATTGCAATTCTGGATGTGAATATAATTTATCCCCATTGCTCACAATTGAGAAGCTATCAGATATGAGGAAGATGAGGGGCCAGTGGTAAGGACAAAGACCAACAAGACAAATCATGTGGGTGATGGGCAGCTAGCACACGATCCTTGAGCCCTGCTGTACTCACTCTCACATGATGCCCCAGCATCCTCTTTGTGTGAGCAATCAAAAACATCTTCATCTTGCTCGCACTCAGACAGCATCTTTTCCATTCCAGTGCAATTGACCAGTTGAGTGAGGACCCTTTGCTCATTTCCTGCTGATGGTTTATATAAGTAGCCACTGGGAGTTCCCTTGGCTGCTCCACAGCCTAGCTCCCGGCATAGTACACCCACATCCTTCATGTCCCAGCCGTCATCACACACAGTGCCCCAGTGGCCCATCCGTTCTATCTCTACTCGCCCTTCACATCGGTGGGGGCCTCTCACCAGCCGCACTCCGGTTGGAGATTCTGTAAAGAGATAGACTGTTAGCTTGATATCTAGGAAGAGCACAAACTGCTTGTGCAAATATTCAGTCAATTTGAGACTATCCCACCACTGACAAAAGTTGTAAAGAGGTGAGACACTAAAAAGGAAGAGACCAAAAGGAAGGAAAAGGAGAGGAACATCACACAGCATTTCTTGTTTTGATGATCTTATATTCTTAATTGTACACTACCAAGAAACTCCACTTCCCATTGCCTACCCATGACTTCTAGCATTTGCAATTTGAAGATTCAGTGAAAAATGTGAATTAAGGATCTATACAGGATATTCAGATTCTTCTAGTATTCAGAAGGACCAACAGAGGCCACCAAGTCCACCCCATTATTTCACAGATGGTGAGAATGGCTTACAAGGAAGCAAGGACTCTGTGACCATACTATCCTATAATGGAAGTCTTAGCCCACAGTAGAAGAGAAAAAAAATCTACCATTTGCTTTTTTAATTTTTCTTTGTGATTCTTTTTCCATAGTAGCACAGTATACAGTTTGGGCTGAACACTATTCCACTAAAGGGACCCATTTCTACCCATCCATGATACTTTTGTGACACCATCCCTTGTCTAAGCACTTAGCTTAGAAGACATGTAAAAGAATTGGAGCTTCAAAGTCTGAGAGTCCTGGTAATTTTCCATGTTCTAGGAGACATGATGAAAGAGAGGTACCAAAAAGACTCCATGTAAGTTCTCTGGACTTAAGAACTTGTGTTTACTCTCTGACTAGAATTCTGGGGAAAGGAAATACCATGAGACCTTTTCTGTCTTCAACCAAGACATGGAAACAGAGGAGAGACCAGGAAGAACCCACTATACAATAAGCATTTGTGGAGAACATACTGTGCTTTGGGTGCCGTGCATTCCAGAACTAGAGAATGTTGGTGAGCAAGACATGATTTCTGTCCTCAAGAACTTTCATTTACAGGGATTGAGGCAATCTTCCCAAGTCAATTTAGCCACAGAGTCTAATAACAACAACAACGAAACACTGGGGAACTTCTGTTCACTGCTTTTGAACTAGGAGTCAACAATGTACTAGGACATGAATAGCATAACAGAAGTCAACATGGAGGCCACAAGAATGACCCAGTTGACTGCATGAATATAACCTAACTACTGAGGAACACAATTTTTCACTATATGTTTTGTCTTAACTCTGCAGAAATTTCCCAGAATTGAAATCAGTGCCCAGAGACGGGTGAGAAAACTTTGACCTGACTGGTTTTAAATGATAAATTTATGTTGGATTTATTGCTCTATCCTTCTTCATTGTTTTGAGGGAGACAATATAAAGAACAGGGGATAGAGGTAGAAATTAAAATTTAACTATAGGGCCAAGCGCAATGACCTAGTGGCTAAATCCTCATCTTGCAACTGCCAGGATCCCATATGGGTGCCAGCTTGTATCCTAATTGTTCCACTTCCTTTCCAGCTCTCTGCTTATGGCCTCAGAAAGCAGTAGAGGGTGGTCTAAAGCCTTGAGACCCTGCACCCACATGCGAGACCCAGAGGAAACTGCTGGCTCCTGGTTTCAGAACAGCTCAGCTCTGACTACTGCGGCCTCTGGGGAGCAAATCAGCAGATCAAAGGTCTTTCTGTCTATCCTTCTCTTTCTACATCTGACTTTCCCATAAAGAATAATAATAAATGAATAAAATGTAGCCATAGAAACTCCATTTCCATTTTGCAAGACCTAGTTTGAAGTTTATACATCTAAGCATAAATATAATTTAAGAGGAATTGCTCAGGAATAGCATTTGGGACATTGGATTCAAGGTTAGAGTTTGAATGAACATCACTGAGTACTCCAGGAACACTGAACTATCAGAATCATGAACTGAATATTTTATTTCGCTCTGGGTTACAAAATTCTCACTTTTGATGAATTTTCATTTTCTATGGAGAACACATAAAAACTTCCTGGGAAAGATGAAATAAGAAACAGAGGGAGCAACAATGTGGAGGAATCCAACATGGGGTTGGGGGAGTTCCAGAGTCTATGAAACTGTGTCATAAAATGAAATAAAAGAAAAAAGGGAGCAAATAATTTAGTTTGAGGGTATAGAGGGTAGACACTATTGAAAGTCAGTGAGAACAGTGGAGGGGTTCCTCAGGACAGCTGTGTCCTGGGCAGGACCTTTGTGAATGCGTTTGAGGGAAGGGAAAGGAGGGGAAGGGTGAAGCAGCAACCTTCTAAGGTGGAGAGGTTGTGAAATAAACTGCTGTGCTCCTGCACCGCCAATAAGGACAATCCTAGAGACAGAGGGAAGAGATCAAGCGATTGGGCTTCCAGAAGCAGTAATTTTTTTAATATATTTTAAATCATTTTATTTGCATAAAGTGAATAAGTATCAAGTATTTCACAATACTGGTTTAGAAACTTAGTGATACTTCCCACACTGCCCTCTCTCTTGCTTGTGTGTTCCACCCACCCTACTCCTTCCTTCTTTGTTTAATTTTTAACAATGGAATATTTTCCATTCACTTCACAATCACAGGTTTAACAGTCCTTTAGGTAAATAACAAAATAAACTGCAAGTAGAAAATCTCCCGCCGTTCCTCCGAAGTCTATACAAATGCTGTAAACAGTAATCATGTCTTTAATGTCAATCTGAAAAAAAAAAAATCAGATTACAGGAAGCTGGGAAGAGCAGTGGGAGGAAAGGATAGCATTTTGGACAAAAGGTCCTGAAACACAATGTACCAAGTTCTGGTGTTTTGTACCACAGTGTGGGTGACTATGACTTAAAGAGATGTGCAATATCCTACATAAAGAACTAGATGATCCAGCTACAGGCAGCAACCAAGTGTCTTGTACCTAGGCAAGCACTACACTACTGGGAGAAAAGCAACTAATGGTTGGTATTCTGGTGGGGGCTAATGCCAAACTACACCAGTGTGCCAGCATAGTTGCCTATTGTTAAAAATATATATATGTAGAGAACTTTGTGTGTGCCATCACGCCATGCAGTACAGCATGGCAAAATGCAGGGGAAGCTGGACCAGGACATGCTACCTCAGCCCCAGGCATGTAGTTGGGTGGGGAGTGGAGGGAGTGGTGAGGGGAGTTGCAGATTGGTAGGGGAAGGAGGTCAGGGGATATGTTGGAGTAATGGGCCACCGAGTATATATTTAATAGATGATATAGTTTGGCAGCAAGGAATAGCCCCTTTTTCCTTCCCGCCTAGTAAAAACAGGAGGGAAAAAAGGCAAGAACTGGAACATTCATCTTACCCATTATCTTCCTCATTACCTCGACCCTCCCCACCCCAATTGGAGGCCCACATTGATGTATGCTTCTCAATTATATAAACAACACTAAAAATAAAGTAAAAAATTAAAATAAGGGAATGGCCAGTAACCTTCAAACATAACCAAAAATAATGGAACAGGAAGAGCAATTTTCTGGTGTGTTCATTTTAAGAAATGCATATATGCTGAAACGTTACACTGTAAAATATGTGCAATTATTGTGTGTTAATGCAAGATCTAAAATAAACTATTTGAAAAATCAGATTCCTTGGGATATAGAAACCTTTACACTAACAGTAGTTTATAGATGCTCCTCTTTGGGACCACTTCAAGCTCAGGTGAGAAGGCGACCAGGAGACAGTGAAAGAAACTACTAATTCACAAATAACCTCCAAGGGTTTGCGTCATCATGGGCCTCATCTCCCCTAGACTCTCCTTAGGTACATAATTGTTGCATTGCTCAAAGGATGCCCAAGTGATAACCAAGGGAGACTGACATTCCACTAGTAGTATATAGTGGTAAATGAATGTCTAATTCAAACAAAGGTGCCGTTGAGGCTGCATGGGAGACTGGACGTTCTGGTGTTCAAAAGGACAACAGGCTCATTTGACAGACATAGGAGGATGAAGTGCTTTCTGTGCTTGAAACGAAGCTTTCCCTTATCTGGATGCTGATGGATTTTCTTGGGCAGTGTAGTTCAAGTGGAGACACATCTCTTGTTTCCTGGCAGAATAAATCATCCTACACCTTTCTAAATTCTGGACAAGGAAACCTGCCCACATAAAATTGCAAAGCTGGGTAGGGTGAAAATCAGAAAGGAAATTTGCCTCCCTCTAAGAAATCCCAAACCATCTTACCTGAGAGGCCAGATCCTGTGCAAACAGCTGGAGAAGAAAGAAGAGAGTGAGTGAGGCCATGGAGTCAATGATCCATATTTTGTTCAAAGAACAAAAATCTAGATACACCTTACCAAATTTTGTGAGAAGATAGGGAGCCACCAAATTCAGCCCCGTTGTGACTTTCTTCTGGGTTGACTGTCCTTGGAGAATACAGGGACACTATCTAGGAGCCAGATTCCAATTCTACCATGTTTAGTTGGCCCAGCCTGTTCCCTTTGTATGTAGTGATAGCTCAATCCCAGGCATAGATTTGGCTTTCTGGGCTGGTCAATTAGATTAGTTATTACTGCCTGAAAAGTGATGATGCTGGGGGTCACTGGAAAGATGCCCTAGGGGGAGGTAAAAATACCATGGTGAAGTCAGAGAGTACATCAAAGTCTCAGGATTTGTCTGTGTTCACTGGCAATGCATTTAGACTGGTTTGTATAGGACCAGACAATAAAATTGTAGATTTTGTGGGCTATACGGTACCTGTGAGAACTGCTCAATTCTATTGTAGTGGCATGAGATCAGTTTTATACACATAGACAAATGAGCATGTCTGTGTTCCAATTAATTTTATAAACGGACTCTGAAAGTTGTATTTCATGTAATTTTAATGTGCTATGAAATGCTACCATTACTTTTATTTTTCCTTTCATGTAAAAATAAAATCATGTAAAAAGATAAAATTGTTGAATGATTCTCACTTGTCAGATTGTAGTTTACTGAGCCCTGGTTTAAATCAATAGTCAGAAAGTTGCTCTAGATTTACTCATAAACACCTAGGTTTAATTACCACTACATCTTCAAAATGTGAAGCTTCCTCCCTATAATGTCTGTGTGTGGTTAGATTGCTGTGTCCATTAAGTTACCTTCTGGTTCTGTAGCAAGTCCTGAGCCCCATAATCATTGCCAGTTCCTGAACCTTAGGCATGTTCAAACGCAGGATGTTCCTATTACCTTCATCTGACTTATTTTTTCTGAAGAAATGAAGGTTTTTTTCATTTCAAGCTTAGGAATTTTGAGATAGCACCAAGTATTGCAATGGTTTAGGTCAAGAGTATTTTTTTCTTCTCTTGATTTCCAAATAACTTGTCAATATTCTCATGTTCTTAATTTCTCATGTTCATAACTTGCTCACATTCAGACTCTGAGATCCTATTTTCAGTTGTCCCAAACTAAAGGTTACATTTCACATATATGAATTGTTAAATAATTCCCCCATGTGTATATTAAAGAATATAAAACTAGTATGCATATGGAAAAAGATGAAAGTGCTATGCCATATGTAAAGGTGCAAAAAGTGACACAGGCAGTAAATGATCTGCAAGCTGTGTAGTAGAAGGAACAATTATAGGTTACACAGACCAGGAAGGCTTCATGAAGGAAATGGTACTGCAGATGAGGCTCAGGGACTCAGTGGTACAGTCATTAGGGCAAGGTACCACATGGGACATAGAAATGTTCAAAATTTGGCCAGCATCTTCAAAAGAACACAGAAATGCCAACACTGAGAGACAAGTGTCAGCTTCAGCAAGGCATAGATCACCAATACGTTAAACATGGATGTGCTAGGTTAGGGTAGGAATTCAGATGACGTAGTTAGATTCCCAACATTATTTATTCTGAGAAAGTCTAGCAAACCTCTGGGGATCATAGTCTTTTCATAAAAGTGAGACCAAGATTTCAGAGAAATATTGTGACTCAAAATAATCAGACAACTAAAAAATACCAAAAAGCCAAAAATCAAGAGATTTGGGCTACAAAATCTCCCAAATAATTAGGGTACCCTCTAGGTTAACACAGACAAAAGAAAACTGGGAAATATTATACAGAAAGACTTTTCTGAGGAAAACAGATAACGATCACTAAAATTTGATTGTCTTGGAACTCTACTTCATTTCATTGCTTTATGCCACTGTTTTGGGCTCAAAAATTTATATTTTAATGGTACATTTAATAATATTTGTATGAAAAGGAAAATGACATAAATTATCACAAACCTGTCCATCCATACAAATACAGAAAAATAGAAAAAAAAATCTAGTCATCAAAGTTGATTATGGATTTGGTATGGATTAAGTAGCATTTTGGAGTATAAAGAAGTCCTACTTGAATGATACCCAAATCTGTTTTGGATAGGCAGGGAAGAAATTCTGCTAAACCAAGTTCCAAAAACTCTGAAGCCTAAGCCAATAGGAGCCAGGTTACTCACCAAGGATCAAGAACAGCAGAGCCATAGTCCAGGCAGGCGAGGATGGTGCACGGAAATGTAAGGCTGGAAAGAGGTCCTCAAGAAGTGCTCACTTTGGGCTACAAGTATTAAAAGAAGGCAGGGAGGCAGCTCCTGTGTGTAGCAGAAGCACTACCAGATGACCAATGGACCTAGGGGATAGAATTAATAAAGCCTGGCCTGCTGAATTCAGCATATTCCAGAGGAAGTGGATAGAATTGGCAGAAACATGTTGAAAAAAAAAAAAGAACACCCAAAATAACAACAACAAAAAGCTGTCATGATTTGGTCCTTCTACAAACCTCAATACATCCATCCTTTGCTCTTCACAGTCTAAAATGGGGAAGAGATCCCACTAGGAAAGGCTGGAGTGAAAATGTGGCCACCCGTCCCTAGATTAGGCAATGCTTAATCATCAAGTATGGCCTGTGAAGAAACCAATCTCGATTACTTTAATCCAGACAAAAATGCTAGCAAATAATAGATGGTAGAGGCCATAGAACATATATAGAGATACCCTGGGGGGCACACCTCACAAGCCATAATCCATGGTCAATTTGCCAATCTGCATATATAGGGCTGGACTTATCACTGGTTTAATCCAGTGTAAATGTTGAAAACTCTAACACCAGACATTCTCCTTTAGGTTTGTGCTGGAGTATTCCCATCTTTGGAAGCTCAGTGGCAACAGACTCTTGGCAGTGATTAGCATCAAGATTGCTGAAATCAGATGGTTTTCTCGTATAAAATTTGATGGACAGAGATTGAGCAATGTGACCTTCAGTACTCCCAGGCCCTTCTGCTTTACTGTGTTAATAAGCATAGCTATTGTTCAAGAGCTATTCAATTCCATACTAACCAAGAACAAAACTTCAGATGCTAACACAATCCTTGATATTTCTGGCAGAGCAATATTTCAATTCTATTGTAAGACATCTTAGCTTCTTTGTAATATTCCATCTCAGCACACAGCCTGTTTCATGCTAATCATTCATTTTTAATATTTTTCATAGACCTATTTTTTTCATTGCCTCATTATATATTAAAGAAAAGGTTTTTTACTAGCTTTGAGGGCCAAGAAATGTGATGGGTGAATAGAAGACATGGGTGAATTAGGAATGGCATGGTCATCTAAAAGAATATGGTACTGTAATTTCAACAACATACAAGAACTACTTTAAAGGAGAAAAGTATAAGCAACTTCAAGGATGCTTTAGTGGAAATAGTCACTTCTAGTTAGGCTGATCAGAAAGAATCATCATAGAAATGATGGCATTTGAGAAGAAACTAAAGGATGAGAAGAGTACAGAATCAGAACAGGGAAAGATTTTGCTACACACGGACAGATAGAAGCAGTATGACCCATTATAGGAACTACACATACATTGTGTACAATGTGTGTTTGTATGTATGTAATACATTGTATAACTACATTGTAGCCTGCTTGCTAGACAGTGTCCAGGAATAATTTCTCATTGATGTCTGTAAAGTTGATTATGTATGGATTTCTAATTTTCATTTTTTGCATATTTCTCTATAAAGATTCTGAAATGATGTAATAACAAACAAGTATTTCAAAAAAGATGCAAAAAACTCCCCACAGCTTAATGCTGATAAAATTGGGTTAGATAAGTGGATAAAAATCCTAGTTCCAATACTTTTACCCCTATGCCTTAACAAACCCTGCGTTTGGGGGAGAAGATCCTTTGTGTGATCTGTGGGTAAACAAGTAGAGAGCACAGTCCTCATGATTCAGAAGCATTCATACATGTTTCAGAATGTTCTTAGAGAATGTACATTAACTTTTAATTGAATTTTCTACAAACTATGAAATATGCATTCATTTCTTTCTGTCCTATGAAAAGTAGAGTGAAAGAAAAGGAGAGAAAAAAGAGACAAAAGTTTTTATCTCCACATGTTATTTTATTAACAGAGTGAAGAATATGAAAGTTGGAGTGGAAGGTTTTTCAGTTAGAAAGGACATTATTCTGTTGAACAACATAAGCCACAAAGAGATGAGATGTGCATTTAAAGCACGAGTCTGAAGCAGAGTGCAGGAGAGACTGAATGCAGGAGCACCACAGAAAGGGTCAAGAACACAGAACAAGAGACAACTGTGGCAGAGAGCAGTGCACTTGAACAAGAACAAACATATGAAAACACGCTCAACATCACCAGTCATCAGCGAAATGCAAGTCAGAACTACAATGAGATATCACTTCACACCTGTCACAATGACTAATATCCAAGACACAGAGAGTAACGAATGCTGGGGAGGATATGGAGAAAGGGGAATGCTAACACACCCTAGCTGAAAATGTAAATTAGTGCCACCATTATAGAAAATAATGAGGAAATTTCTTTAAAAATTAGAAATAGTCTTGCCATATGATTCAGTATCCCACTGTTGAGTATATACCCAAAGGACTTGAGTACAATCTACAGAAGATACCTGCCTCACCACGTTTATGGCGGCACTGTTCACAATAGCCCACATTTGGAATCATACAAGATGTCCACCATCAGATGAATGGATAAAGAAAATGTGGCAAATAGACACAATAGATATTGTTGAGCTATAAAAAATGAAATCCTACCATTTGCATCAAAATGGACATAACATAGTGCTGAGCGAAATAAACCAGACTCATAAAGACAAATACTATATGTTCTCCTTAATATATAGGAGGCAAAATTTTAAACTCAAACAAAAAGGAAAGAAATGTCTGTATCAGTATTGCAATAAATATAGTTTTATAATTTTTGTAACCTTACCAAACCAATGGTTAAGAATGTTATGCTACCATAGTTTTAATGATCTGTGATTACTTTAAAATTTACTGTGTATAAGTGAAATGGTCATTTTTCCATTCAATTATCATTCCTAGCTATTGCTTTCATTTCACCCAAACTAGCAATTTTGTTTTTGCTTTTTCTCATTAAATTTCTATTTGGCTAAGGATTGAGTCTTTTTAAAGATTTATTGATTTTTATTGGAAAGACAGATTTACAGAAAGGAGAGAAAGAGAGGAAAATCATCCATCCACTGGCTCACTCCCCATGACCAAAATGGCCTGAGCTGAACCAATCCAAACCAGGAGTTTCTTCCAAGCTCCCAGTGCAGGTAGAGTCCCAAGGCTTTGGGCCATCATCCGCTGCTTTCCTAGGGAGCTAGGTTGGAAGTGGAGCACAGCACTCACACCAAGTGGCACCTTTATTGCATGCGAACACTTGCAAGCTAAGGATTAGCAACTGAGCTATTGTGCCAGTTCCAGAATAAGCTTTTTGCTGTAATGTAATTATAAAATATATTACTTCAAAAACTAAAAATAGAAAGGAAGAGAGTTAGAGGATGGGAGGTAGATGAGAGGAGAGAGGGAGAAAGGGAATATTATCATGTTCTTAGGTTTATATCTAGATAAGGTTGGCACTGTGGCATAAGGGGTGAAACCACAATGGGCAGTGGTTTGTGTCCCAGCTATTTCATTTCTGGTACAGCTACCTGCTAATGTGCCTGGGAAAGCACTATGACCCAAGTGCTTGGGCCTCTGCACTCACATAGGAAATCTGGAAAATCTCTTGGGCCCTGGCATCTGGCTCCAGACCACCCCAATTTTGGTAATTGCAGCCATTTGAGGAGTGGACCAGCAGGTGGAAGAGCTATCTGTGTCTGTGTCTTCCTCTCTTTCTATAACTCTGACTTTTACATAAATCTTTAAAAAAAATTTTTAAGGAAGAAATATCTACAAATTCACATTGAGTCTATTTAAAACTAATTAAAAATCAACATATAAAATCTAAAATAAGGTTGGTTTAACAATTCTACATTGCATATGTTAAGACATCATGTGAAAAAGCAACCAACACAGTGGGAGAAAATCTTTATACACTACACAACAGATAAGGGACTAATATTCAAGATCTACAAAGAGCTTCAGAAACTCAACAACTGCAAAACAAAACAACCCTGTTAAGAAATGGGCAAAGGACATGAGCAGACACTTTTCAGAAACAAAATTCAAATGGCTAGTAGACATATGAAAAGGCATCATTACTAGTTACTATAGAAACGCAAATAAAAAACACATTGAAGCTCCACCTAACTCGACTAAGAATAGCATGCACTCAGAAATCAACCAAAAACAACCGCTGGGTTATTGGTTGTGGATGTGGGGAAAAGGTACCCTAATTCATTGGTGTTGACTAGTGCAGCCACTATGGGAGTCAGTACGGCGAGTGCTCAGACAACAGCATCGATTTACCATACAACCCAACCAACCCCTCCTGGAAACATTTAAGAAAATGAAATCTGCATGCAACAGAACAGTGTACAATGTGTTTATGGAAGTGCAATCGACAATAATGAAGACATAGAAACAAACCAGATGTCCACCAACAGATGAATGAATAAAGAAACTGAGGTATATGTACTCTTTGGAATACTACTTAGTCATAAAAAAAGACTGAAATCCTCTCTTTGCAATAAAATGGTCCCAACTGGAGACCATGATGCTAGTGAAATAAACAAGTCCCCAAAACAACGACATATGTTCTCTCCAATATAAGACAGCCTTTAGACAAACTACAAAATGAATGGATGTAGGTAATCAAGAAATACATATACTCTCTCAGATGAGTTAATGTAGTGGAGAACAACACACTGGGAGCTAAAGCTGCACTGCAGCAGGTATCTCCTCCTGAATGAAAACAGGACTCTCGTTTTGAAGCATGTAAATATACCCAAACAGCATAATACTAGATTTCCTACCTCTATCTATACCTAAAGTGCCATGATACATTTTTTCTTTCTTTTTTGTATTTTCCATAATAAAATTCCTTAGGTTCAGGGCTTTCCCCTTCCTCCCTCCCAATTTGCCATCTCCCTCATATATGTTTTCCCCCATATTATTACAATAATATAGTCCTTCAACAATAGTCACAAGTCCATTATTCTTCTATTGAAGTGTATCATGACATTGCAGCTAAGGACAATGGCAGAAAGTCCAACATTCAATTGTCAAGATACGTTTAACAGTTTCATTGACAGGTCATTTCATTG